TGTATTTCGATTTTGTCAGCTGGTTTTTTTCTCTGATTTGCAGATTTATTTTTCTAATCCATTTGATTTGTTACTGCTATTTGATCAATTTTATCGATCTTTAGTAACGAAATAATCGGTTTCAACCTGAGTTTTAAACTTTTTCTCACATCGGATACCCACAGACACACCATGCCACTTCAATTTACTCATGTCTTAATTAACTTGGTGATCAAAACACATTTTTCCCTAAAATTGTTGTGAATGTGGAATTTGAGTGTGCTCATTTTTTCGCACACACCGATATTCACACAAACTCACCCACATCCACATCCCAAATCGACAAATTGTACTTTAATGATAACTTCTTGGGGCGAACGGCTGAGATGAAATAAATAAAGCTAATACCATATCAAGTTTAACGTGTAAACAGTCAATCGACCATCTTTTCTTATGATATGACTTTCAAAATAGCCATAGTTTTTATATTCATTCTTATATGACATAAATTTCGATATTTTTTAAAACACAATAATCTTCTTTCATGTTCGAGCAATGAAATATTTCTCTGTGATGCATAAAATACTTTCGAAAAACTCGTGAAGAAAATCAAATTAGAAAACATAAATAATTTGTTTGTCATATAAAAATCCGAAACAGTGTATTTTGATGTTTGGATAGTTTGTTTAGAAAAAGAACAAAGAAACGAATATAAGCAATTCTGTCATACTATTCTTTTTTAACAGTTTCTTATGGCCTTTACGAAAAAAAAAATAAGACAGAAATTGGAAAGACACAGTAATATATAGCAGATTTTGAATGCGGTACTTTTCTTTCTTTCTTTATTAACCAATCCCAACGCGGATGAGAGGATTGCAACGAGAAATGTTTGCCAGTGGACATGTGAGTATTAGATGTTCTTAAAGCTAGTCAATGAGCTCATCGTTGTTCAATATCGATCGCTCTTTTGCAATATCATCATCACATCTAATATTCAACGCCATCAGTTTGTTCATATTAGAAGCCAGATCAAGTGCACACGTATGATTATCTACAGCAATCATCAGAATTTTATATTGGATGCCTAGCAGTGTAAGTTTTATTTCGAATAATACTTTTTGTAAACTTTTATCACACGACCAATCAATATGTAATTGAGAAAAATCAGATGCTTGATCAAGTAAACTTTGAAGTTGAATCACACAATATTCATTTGGAAAAGCTGAGATGATAGTAAGGAAAATAAATTTGAGAACGTTAGACCAAAAATGATTATCGATTGGCAGTACAATAGAGAGATGTTGAATATTGAAAAACGGAATATGATGAGACGAATATTTACCATTGAAAACTTCATCAGTTAGACTACGCACACTATTATAGGACCACTGATAATTAGTTCAAGAACCAGTTCATTTCGATATTGTGGTATTAGAAAAGGAAAAATCTTCAAATGAATAGGGTCTCGATCACATCGAAAAACCAATGATGTTCATCAAACCAAAATCGATCCTGAAACGACTCGAACATTTCATTCATTTTCAATTCTTTGTTTCCATTCGAAAGCAGCAAAAAATCCATCCTAAATTGCAATACATTTAGTTTTAGCAAACAGTTTCGAATCAGTTATTTCCATTCATGTCCACTAACATAACATAACTATATAGAGCTACTTTCAAGTGAGATAAATTGGGCATCCATTTTACAATATCTTTTTTTATGTTTGAATATGGACTGTGGGTGTGGGTGTGGGTGGGGTGTGGGTGTCTTGCCAACTCCCATCCCACTCACACCCGCACCCACATCCAAATCTTGCGATTTTATCATTTCTATACAATTCGTAACAAGATGGTATTGGTCTTTTGTTATTTGACTTGTTATGCATTAACAATTTTATCGGTCTTTGGCCTTTATTTATATCGAAAACGACGAGATTTCACATACCAGCTAATAAAAACTAAGTTACATTAATCCTTTGAGGGCGAAGACCATATATATACGGTTTGAAAGCTTGAGTAGAAACGAAAGAGAGTGGATTTGTTAGAGTAGATTATTAGTGTATTTTTTTTTAATTTTCTCTCTGAAAGTTCTCTATTTGCCTCTTGACAGTAAGAATCAGTATGAAAATCATGATTGATAATACTTTTCAGATTATAATTGATTTTGACTGTAGGACTTTATTTCTTTTATAAAGAAACGTCCGTCCTCAAAAGGGTTAAATTAAATCTGGATGCATTCTTCAGTTCGCATTAAGGTTGCATTTTTTTGTAGCGTGTATGCGATCTTTGAATAAATTTACAATCTACAGTTACATGTTGTGACCTTTTTTCTATTTCGATAATGATACCTGTTTGCTTTTCTTTAGTCTTAATTTTCGATCATACAATTTAAGTAAAGTGTATTATATTCTTACTGCCGATCTTGTTCGTCATCAAACTCTGAATGTGTGGACACTAAAGATGTGCACGAGACCAAAAAAAATTTCTGGTCCCGCTCAAACATTTACCTGCTGTTTCATTAAGTTCATTTTTAAACTATTGTTTGACGACACATTTTGTACAGAAATGCTTGCTCTTTCAGGCTATATATTTTAAAATATACCATGGATCTTCATTACCAATTAATTCATAAAATAAAGCGATCGGGGCCAGATTACTGGAACCGACCGGGACCAAATTGGTCCCGATCACATTATTCTATGAATTAATTAATAACGAAGATTCATGGTATATTCTAAAATACATAGTCTGAAAGAGGAAACATTTCTGTACAAAATGCACCGTCAAACAACAGTTTAAAAATGAAGTTAATTAAACAGTAGGTAAATTTTTAACCGGAACCAGAAATTTATTTTTGGTTCCGTGTACATCTCTAATGGGCATGTGAGGCAAGCAAAAATGACGCATTCGCTCAAGCTAAAGGTGTCATCAGATAAGTTGGGGCTTTCATTACTGTGGGTGTGGATGTCATTATTATTTTTCAGTAGAATAACACCTCAATTTCATATTCTTGAACCTTTTTCTATTGCTCACTTGATTTGTTGCTACTCAAAATTGACTATAAACTTATTTCAACAGGAAGGTTCATTTGTCATAATAAAGAAAAATTCATTTTAAGTGTCGGAGTGACCTGAATGTATTATTCTGGAACCGCATTCGCGCCCAGTGACACATTTCTCTTTGTTGTTACATTTGCAAAGATGTTCATTGATTGAAGATTGAAATCATTGATAAGATTTGTGGTATTTTATTTTATAGTTAAAAATATTCTGTGATAATATACAACAGAAATACGTTAAATACCACTTGCTGAATGTTTATGGTAGAAAACGTATACGTTCATTCGCATTATAAACATCAAGATTAATTTGCCATGGAAAAGAACACTTGGCTATATCCACATCGAGTTCTGATATACTTTGCGTTCGCTCATTTTTTAAATGAATCTTTTTCCTGTCACAATCTACTGATAATTCCAATATATCGTTCATTTCCATATCAGTTTTATAGTTGTTATGACTATTGTGGTGAACCCCATTGATATAAACCTGATTACTTCCGGCCCAACCATAAGTCGAAGGAGTGCTGTATGGAAGGTTCTGTATTGGCGCACCTTTAGAAACTATAGCGAAAAGAATCCACTTATTGCTACCCTGCTGTTCAATTTTGAAACGAAACTGGTGTTGTCCTGATGAGTATTCGCCTTTACTCCGTATTACTGTGTGAACATTCGAGTTTCCATGTACAAGAAGTCGACCATTCTCTTCGATTCGAATATCACCCAGTAAACTTTCAAATGTTTCATTGATTTGCGTTTCCTCATTAATAGAAATTCTTGATATAAACGAGTTCACATTATCACTTTGTTGAATTTTTATTGCTTGTGGAGCATTCAAATCCTTGTTTAATTTATCCAATTTCTCTTTCCATTCTTTGATATCAGACTCAAAAAAATCATCATCGTCATGAGCTTTAACTATCTCTTGTTTGAACAATGTCAAATTTGTCTTTATATTATCCATATGTTTACCTATTATGCTTAACAGTTTTTTTCGTCCTTCCTCAGCAGCCTGACGTATCTTGTTGATTGAATCTTGTTCCCATTGGTCAATCTGTTTCATGAGAGGATGTGTACGAGGTTGTGTGATGTGCTCATTAAAACTTTGTTGTAACTGATTGTGAACAAAAAGAACTTCTTCATCGATCTTTTTACTAAGTAACTGACGATGTTCATGCGTATGAGTTAGACAGAAATCCTGTGAACATCCACGACACATAAAAGTTCCAACTGACTTGCCACATGTCGCACAACGCGACTTATTTGATGTTGCAGACGCCATGTGAGTTTATAAAATAAATTTTTGTGAAAGAATTACGAGAAAAAAAGACCAAGATTGCCAAGTATTTATACAAGAAAGTGAAACATGATTCACCTTGTGTCTCCACGATGGAGGACAGAACATATTGATTCTCGAAGTTGACGTGTAGTCATATAGAGGGCATGGATGTCTGCGTATAGTATAGATGTAGAATGTACTTGTGAGTCTTCGCTTGATTTGCACTCACAACAACACGTTTTTTTTCTTTTTCACTACTCTAATTCACATAAAGGGGGTGTGGATGTAGAGAAGATGCAAACTCACACCCACACTCCACACCCTCTCTCTACACTCTCACATCTCCATTTTCCCGTTCGTACTCTATTTGAATTCAATAAAGAAAAGATTGAAGTCATCAATATGGGAAAAGATTATTTATATTAATTATGTAAGGATATGTATGATTATAATATAACTTCATATCTATTAGTTATATTATATTGCTGACTTGGGTACACACAGCCACTTTCATTAAAAACAAAATATCGAATAGGCATCAGTATAGTCGTTACATATGATATGAACACCGATTCTTAAAGTTTGCCAGGTGTTAATTAAGTATCCATCTCACTACTTTTGTACTACCCTAAATACATGTGTCTTCGGATTCTAACAACAGCTATTAGCGCTAGCATTGAATTAATGCTAATCCAGCACCTCTTTTTTCCATATTTTAATTTTAAACGTCTTCCGCCAACTTTGTATTTAAAGTGTTCTTACCCGCACACTTCCTTTCATAATAAAATATTTCTTTTTCTACTTTCATATCTAACTATACTGGCAAGAGAATTTGAGGCTCCTTCGATGATTGTCTGATATTCCATATCGATTCGAAAGGAACCACTAGCATAGTATCGTATACTCTTCTTGAAGCACCTTGTTCTCAACATGTCATTATACTTTTTTATGATTTTACGACTACATTATACTAGTTTCAATAAAAAGGAGTTGAGTAATAAGTTCAAATACTTAATTTCATGTGTTCATTAAGATTTTTAAAACTTTTTATCGATTATTTATTTGCATTCGAGCTGTTTAAGTGACAAACTAAAACAGAGGCGGCGGAGCGATTTCAATCTAGGGTAGGCTCAACTTTTCAGTATAACCACCTCTCGATAGCGGATTGAAAAGCGATTTTTATTTGTTTATAATAAAAACTACTATAGATTTTCGTAAACTCCTCCTCTGGCAGAGGAGACCCTCCCTAATTAGAGGGTGCTCCGGAGGATACGATGTGAGATCCATAATAGAAGGCCCCCGATTTTAATTAATATTTAGTAATTGTTAAAGCTATTTTTCACGTAAAACTGCCTATTTTTCAGAGTTTTGAGCTGAAATTCTCGCTAAATAAAGTTCAGAAAACTCAGAAAATCCTCCCTAGTTTTCTAGAAAGCGTTGCTGGTTAAAAATCCACTGAAAAAAGTGGGTCATATTAGAAGATCCTCTTGCAAAGTTTGTATGCTCAGTCGTAATAGAACACCTGAAACCTTTTAATGCGAGGGGTTTACTGTATGTGAATTGCATAGAAGTGCCATAACTGTACGTAGAGTGCTTATTGAGTTGAATGAAATCAAAAACTAACAATGTAGTAAAGGCACGTTACAAG